GTGCAATCCACGTGCAATCGAATCAAGATTGTTTCTCCATGTAAACTTGCACTACTACGTGTATTTATATATTTGTCTTAATCTTTATTCTTTGCTTAAACTTTATGCACTTATATGAAATGCAATCTGAATGTTTAACTGTTTAAGCCTTAATTTTAAGTTGAAACTTTTTAATTCTGGTAATTTATTTTTAAATCTTATCTGGCAAAAGTCTTGTACATAGTGAGCGGCAAAAGACACGTGTAATTTTTAATCGCTTTTATTCATAATTTTATTCCATGTTAGATATTTTAGTAATTTTATTCTTTTGGCACGGAATTACTTTCTTCCTTGTTTTATCTTTATCTTAAGGAAATTTATTTGTCGAGTGAATTTCAAATGGGTTGTAGATCATAGTTAATCGATGATCTACTTCATAGTCGAGCTATAGTTGTGATACAATATTAGGAATAAGGTTTATTTAGTCCCCCACTTATTGTCGAAAGTAGTCGCTTTATTCTGTAAATTGTTTAAGGTATTGCAGCTCTCAGGTGCAAGTACTGTTATTTAAATAATATGTAAGTTTTGATTTATAATAAATATTTCCACTTGTAATTCTTGTTCGTCTGTTCCTTTCGCGTGGAAAACATCCGAATGTCCCTTATCGTACGATGAATTCCAAAAGATACGCATTTAAGCAACATTATTATTGTATTCGTGTTTCCGAATTTTATTAAAATTTCATTGGTAACAAACCCTCGTTTATTTTTTTCTTTTTTTCTGTTCTGTATCTTCCGCTCTTCGTTTTTCCCTCACGTAGTTTTTAAACATTGCATTTTTTCACAGTATCGAGCTTGTTCAACTTTATCAATTTCTTATCTATCAAAAGTAATAATACATGACTGTGAATAGATGAAGAATTTCATAACATATTAAAACATATAAAGATCTTTCTTCTGTTTTTCTCATTTTCAATTAGTCGTGTAAAGATTGATTAACAATTAAAAAATGAAGAATTTTGTGTTTAAAATATTTATATAAAATATAAATAATATTTAAAAATTTTATATCAAAATTTTAATATATAAAAAGGATTATTAATAATCTTATTACGGAAATAACTTTTATGAGTAGAATTTTAACATGAAATTCTTCGTTCGTTCTATTTATTAATCGCAATTACTACAAATCTAGGGAAAGAAGAAATTTTTATAAAATTAATACGAAATTCTTCGTTCCTAATTTAACGATGGAGTAATTATTCCTATTTGCACTGTGTGCCTTTGTACTCTAATATTAAAATATAAGAGAATTTGTAAGAATAAATAGAAGTATTCTTCATCGAGTTTCTTGTTCATTTTATTCTTACAAGTTTTTTTGTATAATTTACTATTAGAGCATACAAATAGGAATAGCACACTAATACGGATAGTTAAGCTTCATTTTTGATTTTAATAGCGATTCATGTCTAATCATCTATAGTTCAAACTTCGTACAATAATATCACAAGCTGATAAGATTGGCCGGTTATTTATAACATTACAAAGAGCTATAAATATCGACAGTCTGTTCACCGATAATGTCTCGTCCGTCATCTGATTGCCAGACGACACAAATGCGCGCTCTTATAAATACAAAAAAAAAAAGAGGATTTCGATGCAAATATGACATACATTTGCACCGCATCGTCGGGGCTATTGTTAACTTCGTAACCACCTTTTAATCTGAATCTTGAAGCTTGTTTCTCGAATCACGTGATTGTTGCACTCGTAAATATGCTGTGAAACGAAAGAAAGAAATAAGAGAAGAAAAGAGCATAATTTTCACTGCGTACGAAATTTTATTACATAATTATATCGTGAGACCACATCAGCCATTTGTTCCATCCACTGTTTCGAATTATAGAAAAGTTTTTATTGAGCATAGAGTGTTACACGTTACAATAGTAATGATAATCAATAATCGTAATAAAGAATGAGAATAATTGATAATCAATGATATTACCTTATTTGTTTTTTTTTTTTCTTTTCAACAAGTAGAAACTATCACGTTTAAAACGTACACTTATAAAAGGGTAATAAACAGACAGACAGACAGACAGACAGACAGATAGAGAGAATATAGAGATGGAGAGAGAAAAAACAGTACCCTTTTACAAACTTCTGATTTGTATCGGCTTGACTAGCATATTAGAAGCATTAATGTTACAAGTTAATCGTAATCAATTAGATTCGTTGAGAAGGGGAAGGGGGAGGGCGAGGGGAGAAGAGGGCGCGGGAAGGATTGAAAGCACGTTTAATGCGTAAAGGGTGGGTTATTAATTACGACATTACAGGTATTAAAAATTCGCTTCGTAATAAATTAGATACGACATATAAAGGAGAAATGTACATTTATAAATCGCTAAGTAATTATTATCGTTACACGTACTCGTCGAGGGCTACACCACACACTGTGTTACTTCTCATCGTTTTCTTTTCTCCAATTTTCTTTCCCCCTTTTTTTTTTGCCCCGTTTCTTCATTGAGAGACAATAATAACAATTGCAAGGCTGATTTGTACGAGAGTTTCATAGTAGTAAAATATTCGCTCCACGACTTACCCTCCCAACCCTCATATCTCAACCTCCGTGCAAACCTCCAAAAACACACACACACACACACACATACACATCGCAACGTGTGATCGAGAACTGCTTGCTTTCGTTATTCGATT